TTTTACTTTTCAGAACAAGAATGTTGACACAACAGTTATTAGCTCGTTTTTACGACACCATTTTATCAGTGTCCAAAGGATCAAGTTGGCTTGAACCAGCAAACACGCCATGTAAACGCGTTCAGCTCCTAATAATCTTGGGGTTGAGTTCAGATAAGACTGGTCCAAGACATCGAAATCACGCCCTCCATCGCGGACTTCAAACGACGTTCTCAAGAATCGACATGTATGCTTCCACGCTGTCCGAACTACAGATAAACGAATTTCAGCACTAAGTATCGCGAAAAAAATGTTGTTCGTTGCGGCAACTGATACACATCGTTTTCTGCATTCTTACTGCATGAGCAAGACAGTAGATTTGTGATTGAGAGTGCTGTTGTGTTTGGCCATGAACGATCAGACTGAACTCTCCTTTCCTTAGAATTTAAACGTACAAGCAAAAGAGAAAATCCTGTTACTTGCTGGGAGGAGCAATAGTTCGGCTCCAATATAATGCTACCGTGTAAACCAATCAAGTCATTCTTGCGCAAAATCCCGTGCGCGTCGCGAGTGTGCAGGTAATTCGAAGCGCAGTGTATATTAAAATGTTCATAATTTTTAGGCGAATGCAACTAATTCTATCAAAAGAGAATTTTTATTTTGCAATCAATCAATCATACTACAAAAATTACATCAAGATTGAATATCAAACAAATGATAAACATTCTCGAAATTAAAGATATCTGACAAATCAATGTCACAATTTGAATACGATGAAACAGACAGGTGACAATATAACGCATTTGAACAACTCTCGTGAGAGGTATTTGTAATGATGACAACCATCTTTATTTCGCGTCAAACGTGATAAGTTGAATGTTTGGTCTTACCCAGATTTTGGAACGATTCTGACGTAATCCCGTTGATTTGTACGCGGCGTCCACTTAATACAAGTATATTGAGTGTACTGGCTTATAGCATCCATGATACGGGAACGTGCTCCGCTATCTATTAAAAACAATAAATATACAGATATTTAATCAATGAAGATTATTAACCAGATACAACGTTGAAACGGGCTGGTCTTTGTGTGAGAATATGATGGCTTCGATAAAGCCCGTAACAGGAGACCGTCAAGTAACCACAGAGTAAATATTTATTTGCACCGACGGGTGTACACCTGTCAAATCTAAACGCCCTCACCGTGACAACGAGAACGCTAAATTTCCAACCACGCTCGTATATGCATTTGTAACCTACCGAAGCCGTAGTCTATCTCGTACGGCACGATACCACCGGACCATCGTTGATTCATGTTTGTAATCGCATTACGTGGTAACTGGAATAAACAAATAATTGCGGCTTAATATAATTAAATTACAAATTGTTATTAAGGAAATCGACATTGCCATGCTGTACTTCAGTCTCTTGCATTACGTTTCAAAATGAATATTTCTCATACTACCAACTTTTAAATTGCAGCCTGATAAGAGTATTTACATGTAACGATCGACACGGAAATTAAATTAGCCTAACCGATATTAGCTCAGTTTTGCTGTAATCAGGTTATAATAATTCCTGTCGACGAGCGGAAATTGAAAGTGGTTGGCAATACATCACACGAATTTCTGGAAATATATGTATATCCAAATGCAAATTAAAACCATTAGAATAACTTGTATGGAAACCATACAATATAAATGATTCTCGTATATAAAAAAACATACACGTAGAGCCGGGAAACAGTATACTTAGTGACAGTGCCACATGTCAGGGTTAAATATTCTATAAAAAATACTTACATCCGGTCCGATGTAGATATCGCCCTCTAAGAACCCCGAGTCTGGGTCTGAAAACAAGGAACATTTTGTTGTGTTTACCAAGGTCGAATGATGATTGTGTACGTTTTATTTTACAACAGTTCAGAATTACTTAATTAGTATATTATCATGATATAATAGTAGTTTAGTTGAATTACGTCATACTAAAAATTCCAAACTCACCATTAATGAGAAGACGGTTTTCTGTCAAGATGTACGACATAGCGTCCTCCTCGTTCTGACCGTATGTCGTTTGTGCTAAAGCAAAATAAAATAGTACAATATTAGGTAAATCTACACGAAGAATCGAGATTAAGAAACAAGTTAATTAAAAGATCTAGCGTTCACACCAGCAATTCTTACAAGTGGCGTAAATATGGCGGCCTCTAGATAATACACAAACTGACGCTGACTCGAAGATAGACAATGTTTTTTTGGTTGACCATATATTTCTGTCTTTTGTGTATTTTTTCAACTAAATAACAATAATTGACAATTTTGGGCAATGTAAAATGCCATACAAATATAATACATATAAACTAAGCAAATGATTGCCGGTGTTGCCTCTGTTATGCCGGCGTAATATGTTCACATCGGTTTTTATGCCAGCGTAACTATTACATATTAATTACGCCGGCAATTATACCCCCTACAAGAGGTTTATATTCCGCCATTTTAAACCCCTCAACGTCAGTCGGTTTTACGTGTTCACATCTGTCTTCTCTTACGCCGACGTAAGTTATATCGGCACATCGGCGTAAAGGAACACAACAACAAATGTGAACAATGATTAGTATCGGCAGTAAACAAGTCTGTAGGTCTGCTGAATCTCTCATTATTATATTCATTATCAGGGACCGGGTTTATCAAATTATATATAGGTGATGGGTTGTTCAAATATATACTTACCATCAAACTGGGGCGTGATTACACCAGTTGGCTGTAATCAAGAACAAAAAAAATGAATATATTATATATGCCATTAATGAGTCAAAAAGTCGCGCTATCTGGCGACGGAGCGCTTTTGTGACGTTATTCTGAAGTGGGTGTAAGAAGTATCTGCCAACTCA